GGGGGGGTCATGGCTCCCCTGGGTCACCCCTGGCTCCGCCCCTGTGTACAGGGATACTGCATGTTGGATACTTTAACTTTTAGTGTGAATTGATTGAATTCCATATCCAATGTTCTGTCCAGCAACATTGTTGGCTGTATCTAGGTAATGTAGGTAACAGTGGTTACATGAACTAGTGTGTTCTCTGGATATCTAAAAGACTGCTAGAGAACATAGAAGGAAACACCATAAAATTTTATTGGTGAAACGGCATTATTGATTCTTAATAATTGAAGGATCTATTGGCCGAACATGATAGATTTCTCAAATTTGGAGGTCTTTTGGTTGTTCAAATTACTCTCACCATTGATATGTTCTTCCTTTAACTATGCCATGCTCTTTCACTGGTTCAGTGGTATACACATCTAAATTGGATAGGGTGTCATTGATATTATATGAGTACAGTAATCTGTTGTTCTCCACACTTGCAGTTTTTGTTTTTTTTTTTTTTTGGGTGGGGGGGTTAGAGTTTTCGAAACACAAAGAGTATGCCCATAATTGGCATAAAAAACCATTCAGTGCTGTTGGTTTAGCACAACCTTTTAGATAGTAATGATTTCAATCTTTTAGAAGGAACCTTGGAGTAGCTCCAATAAGATAAAATGAGAGAAAGTAGACTAAGATGGTTTGGTCATGTGCATAGAAGACCATCTACGGCACTTGTAAGGAGTGATTTAACAATGTTTAAGAGCTGGGTTGAAGTAGTACGATTTAAGAGCTCATAATGACCATCTTTGGCACTTGTAAGGAGTGATTTAACAGAATGGCGAAACAGGTTCATGTAGCCAACCCCATATAGTTTGGATAAGGCTTAGATGCTGCTGATGATTTCCATTTTGGAAGTCTGGGGTGTGAAAAGGACAATGGTGTAAAGGCTGAGGAAAAGCCTGTAAACCTGAAAATAGAGCTTGTGAAAAAGGGGTTATTTGGTCAACTCCAGATAGTGCAAAGTGGCTTTTGGTTTAGTCTAGTTTTAGGATGTCCTAAGGTTGCTGGTAGAAATTCAAATAAGTCCCTTCCCCAGAAAATACACATGCAGACCTGTTTGGGATTTCTTCTTGGGTAGAAAATTTGAACCAATAGCTGAATCTGGGAACATCCAGAGTTGGTTCTGATACATCCATCTCTGCTTCCAGTTTCACCCTGATCCAAATGTGGCATTCAAGTTTTTGAAATTTGCTTTGAGATCCAACTGGTACAAAAATGCCTTGACATTGGTCTCTACCTGAGACTGTTGGTCTGTATATCATGCCCGTATGTTTTGGAAAAGTATAGGATGGTGTTTCTTATTTTGTTTCCTCAAGTGGTCTAGAAGCCTCACATTGCTTGCTTGGGTATATTTCAGTCTCACTTAAGTGGTACTAGACTTTAAAATGGAGTTTGGATTGAAATTAGAAGGTGCTCAGATATTATATTTGGGTATTATTTCCATTTATCTAAGATAGAGGTAGTGCTGAAATTACAATAGGCCCTCCTGTCTTAGATTTTTAGTATTTTTTGTTTTATTAGAAAAACAAAGAGAAAATAAAAGCTTGTCTCCCCTGTTTGGTCAGCCCTGTTGGAATCAGTCAACCATGGCTAATGAAGCTTCTAAGGTTGATGTGGTGAGTGGAGGTGAAGCAAGATTTTCATGGCTGCAATTGTTAATTGCAGTGTTGTCAGATTCATACTGGACCAGAGGGTTGAACCATCAGACTCCAGAGTTGTGGGATTTCTGGTTTCAGAATGCCGGTTCTTAGTTTTTTGAAAACCATCCAAATTGCTATTAAACCAGGCAAACTTCAAAAACTATTAGCCAGTTCTCAAACAATCTACCCTGGGTCGTTGCTTCATAATAAGTCACAAAATGACAATGAAAAGAATTGAAACCTGACCTGCTATTTACAAAGAGTATTGTGTTACCATTAAGCCTAGACACCATTTGTGTACTTTTTGCTTATTTATATCTGTATCGAACCAATGTGTATGTATTTCAGCAAAAAATGATTTGGAAGACTTAAACCAGAGCCACTTGAATGATAAACAGTGATAAACAGAAAAATAACTATCAGAATATATCAACATTGGTAAATGGATAGGACATATCGAGTATTAGTACAGTATTTGAGAATTGGGGTACTAACAGTAGAAGATCAAGACTGTAAGTCTTGAATCCTAATAGGTTTTAGGTTTACAAAACAGAAGAAAAGTGAGAGAAAAGGAGAGAGAATAGAAGAGAAACAGGAGAACACAAGTGGTTGAAAGGAGGGAC